CAGCGTTCGCATGCGTTTCCCCCACCCAGTACAGCGCTTCCCCAGTGGCAGGGTTCGCATGGTCTTCCCTATCCAGTGCAGCGCTTCATTTCCCCATGGGGAGCTCCGCCGAAGGCCCCAAAGACGGTGTTCGCATGCGTATCCCCCACCCAGTATAGCGTTTCGTGGCCCCATAGGGAGCTCCTCCGAAGGGCCCAGTGGCGGTGTTCGCATGCGCTTCCCCACTCAGTACAGCGTTTGGCGGCGTTCGCATGCTCAATGCAGCGTTTCGTGGCCCCAGAACGGGGCTCCACCGAGAGCCCCAGTGACGGTGTTCGCGTGCGATTCCCCCATCCAGTACAGTGCTTCGTGGCTCCATAGGGAGCTCCTCCGAAGGCCCCAGTGGCGATGTTCGCATGCGTTTCCCCTACCCAGTACAGCGTTCCGTGGCCCCGTAGGGAGCTCCACCGAGAGCCCCAGTGGCAGTGGCTGCGCTTGCATGCGTCCCCGCTTCACTTCGGCACACCATTTTCTCGCTTCGTGGCCCCACAAAGAGCTCCACCGAAGGCGATACATATAACGGCGATGCTCACAACTGCATTTGGTTGGGCCCTTCGCCTGGATAAATTTGATTCGCGTCAACGGCTGTTTTTCCCAACCATCCTGTGGTGTTGGGTCCTCGTTCTGAAGAGACAGAGTTCCGCGTCATTCATTCACTCCTTCCTTCTCCCCCTCCTCCCTCCTCCCATCCCTGCCTCTTCCCTCCGCAGTCCTCATCGTTATGCTCCTCCCGCTCCTCCAATCCCTTGCACCCTCACACGTTTCGTGGCCCTCGAGGGAGCTCCACCGAAGGCCCCAGTGGCAGGGTTCGCATGCGGCTCCACACCCATATCGGCACACCCCTCACACGTTTCGTTGGCCTTATAGGGAGCTCCACCGAAGGCCCCAGTGGTAGGGTTCGCATGAGGTTCCACCCCCAATGTCGGCACACCCCTCACACGTTTCGTGGCCCTCAAGGGAGCTCCACCGAAAGCCCCAGTGGCGGGGTTCGCATGCGATTCCACCCCCAATTTCGGCACACCCCTCACACGCCAATTTCGGCACACCCCTCACACGTTTCGTTGGCCTTATAGGGAGCTCCACCGAAGGCCCCAGTGGTAGGGTTCGCATGCGGTTCCACACCCATATCGGCACACCGCTCACACGCTTCGTGGCCCTCAAGGTAGCTCCACCGAAGGCCCCAGTGGCAGGGCTCGCATGCGGTTCCACCCCCATTCCGGCACACCTCTCACACGCTTCGTGGCCTAATGGGATGCTCCACCAAATGCCTTAATAACAGGGTTCGCATGAGGTTCCACTCTCATGTCGGTACACCCTTCACACGTTTCGTGGCCCTGAAGGGAGCTCCGCCGAAGGCCCCAGTGGCATTGTTCGCATGCGGTTCCGCCCCTCTTTTCGGTACACCCCTCACAAGCTTCATGGCCCCAGAGGGAGATCCACCGCAGGCCCCAGTGGCAGGGCTCGCGTGCAGTTCCACCCCCAATTTCGGCACACCCCTCACATGTTTCGTGGCCCCATAGGGAGCTCCACCGAAGACGATATTCACGAGTGCGGCACCCACAACTGCATATGGTTGGGTCTTTCGCCAGGCTGAATTCGGGGGCCTGGGACTGGGGACGTCTGGCGCTCTCGGGGGAAGCCGGCGCCGCGGGGCCGTCGTGGGTGTGGACTCGCAGGGAGCGAGCACGTCCAGGGGCGCAGAGCAAGATGACCAGCTATCCAACGCCTGCGGAACGAAGCTTTGAGCCGTGGAGCTCGCCGTCGCGGGGCCCGGGGTATCACAAAACCATTCGTGCCGAGGTGCTCGGCGGTTGCCATTTGTCACACCGTAAGAGAACATCGTAGCAACACCCAGGCCCTCTTGAGGGTCTTCTTGCGGCCCTCTTGGGCTGCTCTGTGGCACTTTGGGACTGTTCCGGGGCCCTCTTGCCCTCGTCGCGGGCGACTGTGGCCGTGCCGACGCCTTCTTGGGCCTGTCTCGGGGCCACCTCGGGCACTCGTGGGGGTTTCCTCGGGCCCGTCTTGAGGCCCTCGTGGGCCGTCCTGGTGCCCTCGTGGCGGCCTTGTCGAATGTCTTGGGGGGGATTTCTGGGCCTCTTAGATCGTCTTGAGAACATACAACATAACAGTTACCCCTGTGTACATACATAAATATATATATATATACATACATACATACATACAGAGAGGGAGAGAGAGAACAACAAAGAGAAAGGGAGAGAGAGAGAGAGAGAGACAGAGAGAAACATAGAGAGAGAGCGAGAGTAAGAGTATGTTGCTGTCCCCGTGTTCGTTGTCGCCGTTCTTTTTGTTCCTTCATTCTCCCTTCCTCCCTGTCACTTCTTCCTCTTCCTCGTTCTCGCCCTTCCCTGTGACTTCTGCCCCGTCTTCTTGAGTTTTTGGCGGCGGCTCCTCTTTGGGAGGTCTCTAGAAGGTTTCTCGAAGGCCCATTGTGCGTTTTTTTTAAGCCTCTGGAGTCATTTTGGGAGCATTTCGCGAGCCTCTGGGGACTTTTTGAGGCCATCTTGCTGGCAATCGCGGTTTCCCTCAACGCCCTGGCCTCGATGTGTTTTGGGGTGTGTGTTGGGTTGTCTTGAGGCTTCCTTGGGTCCCTGTTGGGCCGTCTTGGGGCTTTCTTGGGTCGTCTTGAAGCATCGTTGGCCCGTCATCTTCGGTCGTCTCGAACTCCGGGAAAGTCGAAGAAGCATGCGCCCCCGAGTCTGCATAAACCTTGAGAAGACACTGTGTTTGGCCATTCGGAGGACCTCTTGGGGCTCTTGTTTGTGGCGTCTTCGGGTGTCTGGAGAGTGCCTGGGGCCGCCACGAGGCTGTCGCGGGGCCGCTCGGCTGCCCTCCTCACCGATGTGGGATTTCTGGACCTGGCAGGGGGAGGAGGTGGAGAAGGAGGAGGAGGAGGAGGAGGAGGAGGAGGTGGAGAAGGAGGAGGAGGAGGAGGAGGAGGAGTAAAATGCTAGTTGTGCTCGCTCTGCGCGCATGTTTTTGACACGTGTTCGGGATGGTTGGGGCCTGGTGCCACGGCGTGCAGGGCGAACGAGGAAGGACACCAAGGACCACCCGGGATTATTGGAGCCTGGCGGCCACGGCATGTGGGGCGGACGAGGCGGGTTGGGATTTTTGTTTGCAAGATTTGGCAACCCCAGCCCGTCGGGTTGGGAAACATGGATATGTTTGCACTCTTCGGATCGAAGGGATCTACCTGTGCATCACGTGCCTGCTGCAGCGCTCCTGGTACGCCTCTGGCAGCGGTCTGGCATCAAGAGGGAGTTGTGGCTCACAGCTAGCCTGTGACGTGCAAAGTGAGGGAACGGAGCGTGGATTTCAGTTGCGGGCTGGTGCGTCGTCGCATACCTGCCGGGTTGCTCAAGCGGGCTTCGAGGTAGGAGCGCTTGGCGTTGCCAGCTCGGCCAGCCGCGCAAGATCCGCGCACTGCTCCTGGATCTGCGCGTGGCGGTCGGGAGGGAAGCGGCTCCCAGGGACTCCGCGTCGTGCAGCAACGCTAGCAGACTCTTGTTTAATCGCTTCGCTCATTCCGCCGGCCATGGAGCGCTATTTGGGGCCTCTTGGGGCCGTCTTGGGGGCTTCTTGGGAGCGTCTTGGGGCTCCTTGGCGGCGTATTGGGCTCCCCTGGGGCCTCTTGTGGGGCTCTTGGGGGCTCCTTGGGGCGGGAGGGGGGTAGTCGATTGCGCCCCCCCCCCTCGGAGGCCACGATCCTCGCGAGGGGTGGCGAAAAATAGCCCCCCCCCCCCTGGGGATCGCCCGGGGGTCAGCCGGGCAGCAACACTAGCAGACTCTTATTTCACGTAGAAGGACGCAGGTACAGTGTTCCTGCACGATGCAGTGGCACGGCCGACTCCGATGCGTACGGGGGTGGCGATGGAGACGAGGGGAAAGTTGGCCGGGGGATTGCGGAGGGGAGGAGAGGAGAGACGCAGGGGGGATGAAACGATGGAGTTGCTCAGGCTGCCAGCAGGGCACGAAAGCTTCGGGCTCGCGAGCAGGGACCATCCTGCGCAACTTCGGCGTCGCCTCCTTTTCCATTTGCATCGGCTCCAAGCCTGGTTCCGACGGCTACTTCGTCTGGAACGACACGAGGCGGGTATTGTGTGGCAGCGCGGTGTTCGATCGATCCGTCGTGTTTGAAGTGCCAGGCCGATGCTACCTCTAATTGTTAGGAAGCGGAAGCGAAGCTCAAGCCAACAAGCCAGTTCGAAATCGGAGAAGGCGCGACGCCCGCGAAATCGCTAGTTAGTTCTGACACGGCGGCGAAGAACGAAGCGACGCGGTAGGAAGTCAGTAGGTACGAAAACGAATGCGGCATTGGTTGAGAAATTGTCATGTTCGTCTTCTCGTCTCGCTTGGAAAGACCGTGTGCCCGCAAGGGGCGCGTTGGAGGCGAGACATCAACAGGGAGGGGGGCAGGCAGTTGGAGAGTTGGAGAGAGACACCAGCCGTTGGGCGCACGGTCGTCGTGCAGCCAGCGCACGGCAGGTTGGTTCTTGCCGTGTTCCATTGTCCACACTCGTTGAGACGTGTTGGGGCGTCTTATCTGGCTTGCCCAGAGGGGCCGAGCTCTCCACCATGAAGATCTCCCATAGGGCTCGCAATAAAGTTGTCGTGCCCAGGTTGAGCCAATAATAGGCTACGCAGGCAACAGTTGCCCATTGCCCGTTTTCTATCTGTTGGTGTTGAAGCAAGCGCACGACCTGGGAGTCAAATTGTAAGTCGTGCTTAGCGCGCGTTGAACGCAGACTAGCAACGTTGTGTGCTGAAATATCTTCAGATTTAGACCATCTGTAGATACTCACCTCATAAATTTGGATTGGTTATGTGTGACGGAGCTGCCACTGCACATGTGATGCAAGCATTGAATTTTTGTTGTTGTGCGTGTGTGCGAGTTTAGCACCGCTACCTCATTCATCAAAATGTATGACAGAGTTTATCGGGTCTTGCGAGCGGGGCTACATGTTCCAAATTCATGGCAGGTCTACTCATCATTGCCGCAATACGAAATCAATTGCGCCAGACATGCAGTTGGCCATGAACATGTCTCGTAGTCATGCCTAAATGTCTAGGTGACTTATTCGGGCAACATGTCGATTAGTGAAGACGCCTACGGCAAAAGTCACCGCCGCCTGTTGCGCTTGTGAGGCGGAGTGCCGGTACCCATCCGCTCCGGGCCGAGTGTCCACCATTCAGCACCTTGCCCAGAAAGCGAGGCTGCTGGGGGTCGCGCCCGAGCGGCATTTTACCAGCCAGGGGCAACGTCAGGGGGGGATAGTAATGGAGGATGACGATTAATAAATGACCGGGGGTCGTGTTCACGCGGCGGCGCCCGGGATGACGATTAGAAAACACCGGCCGCGGGCTGGAAAACTATTTCTTTGATCGTTCTCCTCCAGTCAGAAACTTGTGCAGAAATAGCAGAACACTATTTTTTTAATCGTTCGCTCCCATTTTTTTATGAATCGTCATTCCGCATTATTTCATTGGGGGTGCACGTCGATCCCCAATCGCCCATGGATCGCCGAAGAGGGCCCGATGGCTCACCCCGTTCGGCAGGTGCGGTTTCGCTCGTGGGTGCGCATCGCCGATCTATCCGCGGTGTATCGCCGATTCCTGGTCGATGCTCCCCCAGCATCATCATCATCATCATCATCATCATCATCATCATCATCATCATCATCATCATCACCATCCTCATACTCGACATCACCACCATCATCAACATGATCATCATCATCGTCATCATCATCATCATCATCATCATCATCATCATCATCATCATCACCGCCACCATGATCATCATCTTCACCATCATCCTAATCATCGTCATCATCGTCATCCTCCTCAGCATCATCCTCATCAGCATCGTCATCATCAGCAACATCCTCATCATAATCGTCATCATTATTATCACCACCACCACCACCACCATCATCATCATCATCATCAGCATCATCATCATCATCATCATCATCATCATCATCATCATCATCATCAGCATCATTGCCTCTCAAGAACAAGGAAATGATAAGGAGGGCTCAGACCTCCGAAGTTAGCATTTTTTGATACGAAAGATGTCTGCTGAGCTCTGGGCCACGTTCCTGGAACATGCTCTGCAACCCAGATAGTTGTGTTGGCCGTCCCAGGGCTTGGCGAGGGCTTCCAGACGCCGAACAGCACAAACAGAAATCCGCCTTGATTTTTATCGATTCGTTGGAGGCCTGGGAAGGACGAGGGGGGAAGGGGGAGGGGGAGGAGGGGAGGAGAAGGGAGGATGGTTGGCGCCTGCTTAAGCAAGAAGAGAAGGAGGAGGGGAGGAGGAGGAGGAGGAGGAGGAGGAGGAGGAGGAGGAGGAGGAGGAGGAGGAGGAGGAGGGGGGAGAGGAGGAGGAAGAAGGAGGAAGAGGAGGAAGAGGAAGAGAAGGGAAAAGAGGAGAAGGAGGAGGTGAAAGAGGAGGAGGAGGAAGAGGAAAATGGAAGGAGAAGGGGGAGGAGGGGGAAGGAGGAGGAGGACCAGTTGAAACCCACGACGCATTAACGATATTGCATGAACCCTCCTGCAAGTTCCCACTTCCCAGGTCCCTACAAGAATGTGGTGCCATCGCGGGAAGCGCCCATTGAAAGACAAAGCTTCCGAGAGGCTAAAGTTCGCCGAAACGGTATTCCTTGGGCTACAGCGCCGCGAATCCACGTGAACAGTTGCGTCCTGGCAATCCCTATTCGTGCCAGGACACCACCCCTTGGACGTCAACGCCGCGCATCAAGGTGACTGTTGCGTCCTGGCCATCCCGAAGCGTGCCAGAGCACAGCTTCAGGGACTTCAGCCCTACGAGTCCTTGAAACAGATATGGCTAACGTTGGTCACATGCGCGCGGCGCGGAAGCCGAGAGCCGCATCTTGAGAACGGCCCGCCCTCGGTCCTGGAAGCTGCTGCAGGCTTGACAAGTAATGTGCACGGCCCTAAGGCAGGAACCACATGTTGAGAACGGCCCACCCTCCATCTTTCAAACAGCTGCAAGTTCGGAGAATTCATGGGCGCGGCGCCAAGGCGAGAGGTACACACTCAAGAAGGCCCGCCCACCATCCTTGCAGAAGATGCGAATTTGGAAAACGAATGAAGACTGATGGGTGCGGCGCTAAGGCGAGAGCCACATTTTCAGAAAGGCCCGCCCTCCATTCTCGAACCTGCTGCAACTGTCTAAGGCGAATGCGCTCGGCGTTAGGGCGAGAGCCACATTTTGAAAGCGACCCGCCCTCAATCCTTGCAGCTGTTGGACGCTGTTAAGGCGAATGTGCGTGGCGCTAGGACGGGGACCACATTTGGAACAGAGCCCGCCCTCCATCCTTGAAGCTGCTGCGAACTTAGGAAAACCCGAGTGTGCGCGGCGGTAAGGCGAGAGCCACATCTTGAAAACGTCCGCCGTTCGCCCTTGAAGCACTTGCAAAGTTCAAGCTGCAGGGTCAGACATACGTCCGGCCCGCCCTACCGACACGCTTGGGGGTGCGACAAGCAGGTGTGATTTACAAGGAGAGTCGATGGAAGAGGAGGGCTGGCGTGTCTTGTTGCCCTGTCTTGGCTCGTTCCTGCTCGCTCCCCCTGTGCTCCCGCACGCCCCGGCCGCACGCGGCCCCGACTGACGCCGCGGGCCAGTGCGGCCCCCCGCGAGCTGGCGTCGGGAATGGGCGGAGGGCTGGCGCCTGCAGGGGGGGGAGGAGACGGGGCAGGAAGAGGCCGGTGCCCCGGTGGGTGGGCGAAAAAGTGCAAGTTGTTCGTGGACGCATGCGGCTGCACATGGACTGCGTCAAGGTCTCGACGCCAGCCCCCCTGCCCCCTACATGTCAATGTCGACGTCGGTGAGGCACCCCCCGCCCCGGAGGACAAAATATCATGCAAGTCAACGTTGAAATGCGGGGGTGGGGGGGCTCCTCAGAGGTCGAGTGAATCTGATTCAAATCAGCACGCTGCTTTTTCAGTCGCGTCCGCCAGCGAAGGCGCTAGCGGAGTCAGAAGCGCTCCGGGACACGGAAGCGGCCTAATGAGCTACTAAACGCGCCGCAGGCCGGCCGGCCCACTCACCAAGCAGCAGCGGCAAGCTGAGAACTTCCAGGGAAGCTCAGGCACTTGCAGCCCAGCAAAATGCTGGAAAATCAGGGTTGTGCCGTGAGGCAAGGCCCGCTCAGCACGCTGCTTCCCAGAGCGCTCGAAAAAACTTACAATACTTTGTCCACCGACTGCGCCCCTGCCCTGCCCTGCTGCAGCCACCTGGACTCCCCGCGGAGCTTCGTGCGGCTGCCCGTGGCCGGGGCCCACACGTGGACCGTCGACCTGTCCGGGGTCCGGCTCACGCCCAGCCTTCGGCACTTCGAGGACGGCCATCCTCATCTTCCTCGTCCACCACCCTCGTCCACTACAGTCGGGGCCCTGAAGAAGGAACCCTCTTCGTTGGGGAGGGGCTCCGTGTTCCTTAATTGTTTCGCAGCTTGCCTCGGGTTTTCCTTAGGTTTTCGATCGGAAATCGAAGTTTAACTTATGGAAGAAGGGGCCTCGTTCCTTATTTGGGTTTCCTTAGGTCAACGCCCCGACTGTATTGCGAAGGCCTTACGGCCAGCGCCGACCCTGAAGGCGGGACCTCCCCAAGGACCCCCACTAGCGGCCCCCTCCGACCCGCCGGGACTCCGGAGGGGTGCGGTACTCTGACCCCGGGCCCCCGCCCCCCCCCCACACCACCTCCCCCCCCCCTCCTGGGCAGGGAAAGGATAAGGGAAGGGAATCGAAGAGCAGCAGCAGCAGCCGCTCGTCTCCTGTTCCTCCCTCGTTCTCCCTTCTCGTTGTCCTCCTCCCTTCTCCCCCCTCCTCCTCTTCTTCCTCCTCCTTCTCTTTGGCCACGCTTTACCATTTTGCGTCGGGCGAACTTGAGCCTCGTGGCTGTAGCTCCACCTCCTCCTCCTCCTCCTCCTCCTCCTCCTCCTCCTCCTCCTCCTCCTCCTCCAGGCTCGCTCGCGGTGATCTGTGGCCGTGCTACCCGTACTTCACATGCAGGGGGCCAGATGAGTAACAGGGACCATCAGACACCGCCCCCAAGGGACCTGTAGCTTTTTACCTCCTCATCACATCATGATCTTCATCTTCGTCCTCATCATCATCACCATCATCAGCATCTTCACCATCAGCATCAGCATCAATACCAGCATCAGCATCGTCATCATCGTCAGTATCATCATTGTCATCATCATCACCATCATCATTATCAGCAGCAGCACCACCATCATCATCCTCATCATCTTCATCCTCCTCCTCCTCCTCCTCCTCCTCCTCCTCCTCCTCCTCATCATCATCAGTCGTTGCGTGGCGCCCACGCGGCCTTCATTCTTGCGCGCGGCCTCTGTGGCCCGCGCTGGCGCTGGGAGTGTTGGCGTTAGCCCTGTTGCGTTATTAATCGGCCCACGCTCGCGCTCCACCCCACCCCCGCTCCTTCCAGGCCCCGTCCGCCGCCGGCAGCAGTCTGCCCAACCTTGCGCCCTGGTGCGCGTTCTTTACAGGCCGGCGCTTGATGTAGCTGGAACAGTCAGCGTCGCAGGTCGCGCTCGCGGTTCGACAAACTAATCATCGTCACCATCATCGTCATCATCATCATCACCATCATCGTCATCATCATACTCGTCGTCATCAACATCATCATCAACAACATCAGCATCACCATCAACAACAACACCATCATCATCGCCACCATCATCATCACCGTCATCATGAGTATCCTCATCATCAACACCGTCATCATTATCGCCATCACCCTCATCCTCATCTTCATTCTCATCTTCATCCCCCTCCTCCTCGTCATACGCATCATCATCACCATCATCTTTTCCACCACCATCACCATTATCCTCGTCCTCATCATCATCAGCAGCATCATCATCATCATCATCATCATCATCAT